TGTCACCTATTTAAGAGATTCCAGGTTATTGAATCTTTTTTTGTTGTTTGGTTTGGTTTGGGGGGAGTTGTTGGGTTTTTTTGTTTTGGGGATTTTTTTTTTTAGAGATAGCGTCTCACTCTGCAGTTCACGCTGGCCCTGCACTCACTATGTACCGCACGCTGGTCTCGAATTTGCAGAAATCTTCCTGCCTCAGCCTCCCAAGTGGTGGGACTGCAGGCATGCACTACCGTGCCCAGCTCCTTCTCTCCATTCAAGCTCCAAATCAGACCACTCGTGTTGCTGGCCAACTTTCAGATCTGACTCTTGCCCACTATCTCCAACAAGAAAGACTTCAGCTCATCTGCCCAGTAAATTCATCTATATCCTTAAAGCCCCAATTAGGAAGCCACTCAGCCAGGCATGGTGGCACATGTCTGCATTCCCAACACTCTGGAGGCTGAGGCAGGAGGATTGTTGTGAGTTTGAGGCCAGCCTGGGCTACACAGTGAGTTGAAGTCCAGCCTAAACTACATAGCAAGATACTTTTGAAAGAAAGAAAGAGAAAAAGAAAAAGATTTTATTGAGAAGGTCACTCTTTCAAAGACCCTTTCCTGTTCTTTTCTCCTCCTACAAGGTTAGATACTTGGCAGGCCTTAGCCCCACAGGACTGTGCTGTCAGAGTTGTCTTGGCCTTGACACGTGTGGGTTCCCATGCTGACAAGTTCCTAGGCAGGGGATTTTATGTATTCCCTTTTAGACCCCTTTGCCCAGTACCTAGCCCTGGGACTCTCAATAAATTTCTGTTGAACTAAATTTACTTGAATTTTCCAAAAAGTTGCAGGCTTCCTTTCAGTGATTTGGTGACTATTTTTCTTTTCTTTCTTTCTCTGTACTTTTAAAGACAGGATTTGCCTGGATTACATAGTGAGATTGTGTCTCCAAGTAAAGTAAGACAGGGTCTCACTGTGTAGTTCATACTAGCCTCAAGCTCACTATGTAGCTGGCTTCAAACTGGGAAACCTCCTGTCTCAGCCTCCCAAGTGCTGGATTGTAAGCATATACCACCATGCCCCGCTGACTCGGTGATTCTTTTCAGAGGTAGCACTAGCCAAGTGTTCCCAAAGTTTCTTTGATGATTCTTTCCTCTGATAACAGATGCCATTTGTTCAGCCTCTGCTGTGTATCCGGTGCTGTAGTAAATGCTTTGTGTACTTTGGCTCATTTAACTCAGTGAGAGGTTCTAGTTTATCCCATTTTACAGAGGAGGGTTCTGAGCCTTATCCAGCTGGTCAGGCTGAGGTAGGATGCAAGCCCAGGGCTGTCTGGTCCACTCCCAAACCCATGAACTGCTGTCTGCATACATTTTTAACTGTCATCTAGATTTGTAAGAGGTACATTACTGTAAGAGCAAGTGCTAGTAGCCAAGGCCCTCTGATTGGAGCCCCTCCCCAGACTCCTTAGGCTGGCACTTTTACGTCACATTTTCTCCAGAGAGAAAAGTTCGATCCCAGATACTAAACACTGGGGTAAATCTAAAGGTTCTTTGCCCTCTATGAGCTCACAACCTTAATGAGATAGCAAATGTATTTGCACAACCACACACACATTCTGACCACAGGAGAGCACTAAATTCAGAGTCTGAAGCATCTGGATCCAAGTTTCCATCGTCAGTTCCAAAATCAGAAAAAGCTTTTGAAACTGAATAGTTTAGGGCTGAGGGTTTAGCTTAGCAGAGCAGTGCCTGCCTGGCAAGTGCGAGATCCTGAGTTCGATTCCTGGCACCAAGAAGGAAAAAAAACAGTGTTTTGTTTTTTGAGACAGGGTCGCACTGTGTACTTCAGGCTGGCTTTGAACTCACTTTGTAGCCCAGGCTGGTCTCGAACTCATGGCAATCCTCTTCCCTCTGCATCCCAAGTGCTGGGACTATAGGCATGTATCACCATGCCCAGCTTTAAAACTGAATTTTTTCCTACCTCATTTGAAGGTGAAACCTGGTATAACATGAGGTTTTTATATAGTTTTTACTCACCTCATTAAGTGTGATACTCTTTCATTTTGCTGCAGAAACACTGATCACAGAGTGCTACCCCAGCCCAGGGAAGTAGCGGAATACATAGTTCTGAACTCTGGAGTACATCTAGCCCTAAGAGCTTTGGAAAAGGAATTGTGAGCCGAGCATTTTGGCACACACCTGTAATTCCAGCAATTGAGGCTGAGGCAGAAGGATCGCTGGCCTCAAACTCATAGATCCTTCTGCCTCTGCTTCCTTTGAGGCCAGCCTGGGCTACATAGAGAGTTCAAGGTCAGCCTAAACTATATAGTGAGATCCTGTCTCACAAAAACAAAGGAAAGAAGAGAGAGAAAGAGAAAAGGAATTGGGAATCTATGTCTTGGCTTGAACAACTGGGGGAAAAAATGTATAGAAAGCAAACTAAGAAACACACTCGTGAGATGCCCTCAAATAGAAGTCACCCATTAATGAGCAAAAGATGTCTTAGGAAGAGTCAAATTTGAGTGGGGTCTTGAAGGATGAATTGAAGTTCACCTTCCATGGAGGTACAAGGAAATCAAACTTTTGCGCTGAGGGAGGAACATGGAGAAAAAGTGCAAGGGAGAAAAAAAGTGTCTTTAAGCAGCTTGAGCACATGGACTTTGTCAGCTTACAGGGAAAAGTCTGATTATCTGTCAGCATACTGGTGACAAGCCGTAGGCATAGTTCAAAGGGGCAGCTGGTCCAAAACCCGTTCGCCCTGAGCAGGATTTTTATGCTGGGGCTGTGGTGGCCGCCCACAGTCCCTCACTCCCCGCATCAGGCAGGTGTGGCGGGGGTCATCCCGCAGGCTGGTGCTCATTTCACTGCCCTCTGCTGGTCCGGGGTCAGCCCCTTACCAGACAGCCTCTCTAACATCAGACTGCCAGGTTCAGAGCAGATCAGCCACTCACCACCATCAGTGGCTTTGAGCAAGTTATTTACCTCTTTGTGGCTTTGTTCCTCTGCTGTAAAAGCAGAACAATAGTATGAAAGCCTGTAACAGATGGCAGCTGGCCTGTGAAGCACTTAGCAGGAGCCTACCGGTGCATACCCAGTAAGCAGTGCTCATTCCTCTTCTGACAAGGACTCCCCCTCCTCCAGCTGTGTCTAGGAATACATACGTTCCTTAGTACTTAACTTTCTTTCAAAAGCCCTTTATCCTCTCTGCCCCTGATCGTCCACTCCTTCCTAGTTAGCCATTTTCTGTGGAGAGTTTTTCTCTACTGGCTTCTTTCGGCTGTTCCTCAGTCATGACGAAGCACTGCCTTCCTCACTTTGGTCCAGATCCTTGGGGGCCCTGAGAGGCGGCTGGGGATTCCCAAACTCACTGCAGGATGCTCATGTGGAGCAATATACGCAAGAGTGCTGACTTTGGAATTAAATAAACCTGCCGCTTACCAGTCACCTAAGCCTGTGTCACTCCCATCATCCCGAGGAGCTTCATGCCCTACTATGTAGCCTGGGCCTATTAATACGTCCACCCCAGAATTGTTATATCTTAAATTGGATCATTGTACTTAAAAGCCTTAACACAGGGCCTAGTATATAAGAAATAACCTCATGAGTCCCTGCCTCCATTATTAGTATTATTGAAAAATATTTTTGAAAGTCACACTTCTCCCCAGAGATCAAGCCTTAGGTATAATTAAGAGGTTGGAGTTCTGAAGGGAGTGGGTAGATTGCCTCAGCCTAGTGTTGTAATGCTGTGGCCTCATGCTGAGAACCTGTGGTAGGCAGTCACATATGGCTTTGCTAAGTAAAAATAAGAATTATGACTTAGTAAAAACATTTGGGCAGAAAGAAGCATTGCAAACTAGAAGTCTTGGACTGTGAAAAAGAAAAGGGGTCTCTGGTTACTGAGGAGTCTTGGTGGCCCAGTGGTCTAGGACACGGATCGGTGCTGTCTGGTTGGCAGATCTCTTCTAAGTTTTTGTTTTGTTTTGTTTTTAAATAACAAAATTAACACATGGACATGGTCACTAGGCTTCCCTCAGAAAGCTTCTGGCATGCCAGGTATGGTGATACACACCTGTAATCTCAGCCTTTGGAAAGCTGAGGCAGGAGGGTCACTGTGAGTTCAAGGCCAGCCTGGGCTACAAAGTGAGTTCAAGGCCAGCCTGAACTGCATAGCAAGACCTTGTCTCAAAGAGACAAAAAAGCTCTCTGGCAGTTTTTATCCACCAAGCAAAGTGTCAGTACCACAGTGTCAAGGGCCCACCCTGAGCAAAGGGACTTACCACAGACTCAAGACGGAAGAGGCTCTTGGAAGTGATCAAGTCCAGACCCCTACATCTCATCCTACAAATGGAGAAGCAGAGGCCTACAGCAGAGAAAACTCATTTCCGTGCCTCAGCCCTCCTGGAGCTTTAACATCTAAGACACCAAACCAGGATCCATCTGTGGTCGTCACTCCAAGGGATGAATCACAGCCACCAGGGAGTTCTTTCCAAACACATCGACATTATCTCCATTTCCCTCTCTCTGCTACTTAGAGAAAGGTCTCCTCTGCCTATGTGTATCAGCCAACCAACCCATAAACAGGTAGAGGGCAGGTGGATACCTGGGGTTCCCAGATGTACATTTTCAGAAGACCTACTTGGGATGCCCTCATGCAGAGATGCTGGTTGAGTATTAGAGCTGAAACCTTAGGATCTGTATTATTTGTGGAATCATCCCATGATTCTTAGAGCCAGGCAAGTTTTGGGGAACCCAGGGCCGGTCCAGACCAGCAAAGGCTTTCACTAACAGTTTTCTGCCCCAGATTGGGCACTGGGGACAGGGAAGCGATTAGGGTGATCCACTTGGCGTAGAGAGTCAGCCTGTGCCCCATTATTCCTTACAGCACCTCCCTTTTCCAGCAAAGCCTAGTGCCTGGCCACACATGGCAGCTCAGACACATTGCCTGACCTACTTTGGGAAATGATTGGCACTGAAGACACCCGGTAGCCTGGCTGACATTAACGTCTCTCTTTGGCTTTGTGCTTAGACTAAAGAACGTGGAGCTAGCTGCTGTGGGAGGATCAGACGTCCGCGTGAGGATGCTGGCGGCCCCTATCAATCCATCTGACATAAATATGATCCAAGGTAACCTTGGTTTCTGGGGCTTATGTTAATTGGCTTTTTCCGCTCAGCTGCCACCTCATTTCCTTCCTCCTCAGGTATGGGTGTGAAATCCCTGTGATTAGCATAGCTCTTCTCCAGAGGAGCAGTCCACAGACTGCATCAGCCCTCCCTAACGTCCCTTCTCTGAACCCGAGGCTTTGAGAGAGCCAGGAAGATTGCAGAGGGGCATAAACTGACCACTGTGGAGGGCCGGCCGTGTGCTGGGCTCCTTTCTTGTGTTGCTGTTATCTCTGATGACCTTGAACACTAAAGGGTCTCAACCCTGTGGACGGATGAGGGAGCTGGGGCATAGGTGTTAGTTAGGTGGATGGTTGGCCCCATTCAAGCTCCAGTCTGACTGACTCCAAAGTCTGTACTCTCAGCCAGGCGTGGTGACACATGCCTATAATCCCACACTCTGAGAGGCTGAGGCAGGAGGATCACAAGTTCAAAGGCAGCCTGGACTACATAGTGAGACTGACTCAAAACACACGCATGCAAAAAACAAAACCAAGTCCACGCTCTCTCCCTGCCTACATTTCATGGATGACCCCTTGCTCTGTCCTCCCTCAGGGAACTATGGCCTCCTTCCCAAGCTGCCCGCTGTTGGAGGAAATGAAGGCGTTGGACAGGTGGTCGCAGTGGGCAGCAGTGTGACTGGGCTGAAGCCAGGAGACTGGGTGATTCCAGCAAATGCTGGTTTGGGTGAGTTTCCCCTGGTTGGCAGCAGCCTTTTCCAGCTCCCAGATCATATTTCGCCCACTCTGGAGGCTTTGCTCATTGGTCAGTGCAGGGCTTCCTATTAAGGTCCTGCGTGGCTTCCAGGAGAGCAGAGTAGGATGCTGCTGCTTTCGCTCTGGAGGCGGTGTACCTGCTCTCATCTCCAGGGTCCATGCTGACGGGAGCTGTAATTCTCTGAATCCCGACATCCCTAAGTCCCTGCTGTAAGGTGCGGTGGAGAATATAGATAAGGTAATCCCTGTCTTCCAGGAGGCTCAAATCTAATTGAAAAAAATTCCTAAACCAGTAACTTCAGTAGAGGAAGTGCTCTGAGTTCACAAGAAGCAGGGGGCGCTTTTGACTGCTGCACATGCTCACACACACGTGCATGTGAGTGTGATGTAAGTTTATCTTGGGGACAAATCAAAATAGGCTTTGTGGAAGAGGCTTTGTTAGAACAGAGTTTTGATGGGTAGATTCTGTTGGGTGGGTTGAGCTAATTATCATCTCTTACAGAAGAGGTCACATAAGCAAAGACGCACAGGTGAGTTTGGGAGATGGTGGCAAACCAGTGCAGCCTCAGCAGAGGAGCTGCATGTGACAGAGGGTGCATCCGTGAGAAAGGCAGCTCAGAAGTACCGTGGGGTTACCTGGGGTGAGGCCCTTCCACGCTGAGCTAAGAAGTAGGATTTTCTTCATGTGTAAAAGGTGTCATTAGTGTGTTTCACTTTTCAGCACTTAAACAGTTTTGTTTGTTTTTGCAATACTGGGGATTGAACTCCGGGCCTTTGTCTTGAGCTACATTCTCACCTCTTTTTTTTTTTTTTTTTTTTTTTTTGTCTTTCTGAGACGGTCTCATTACGCAGTTCAGGCTGGCCTTGAGCTCACCTTGTAGCCCAAGCTGGTGTTGAACTCACAATGATCCTCCTGCCTCAGCCTTCTGAGTGCTGGGAATACAGGCATGCACCACCACTCCCGGCCCTCAGCTCTTTCTTTAGTTTTTATTTTAAGACAGGGTCTTGCTAAATTGCTTAGTTACCCAGGTAGGGCTCAAATTTTCAGTCCTTCTGCCTCAACCTTCCTGGAATTACAGGAGTGTGCCACCATGCCTGGCTCACTTACCCGTTTTTGAGGCACCTCCATTATACAAATAGGTCTTCATAGCTGGATATGGTGTGCATACCTGTACTCCCAGCTCTCTGGGAGGCAGGAGAATCAAAGTCCCACCTGAGGAACTTAGCAAGAAATTGTCTCAAAATTTTAAAAAGGGCTGGGGATATAGCTCAGTAGGAAGGCCTTTGTTTCAATCCCCAGTACTGGGAAGAAAAAAAAAAAGGTCTTCACAGCAGGCACCCACAAGGGAGCAGGGAGGCAGGCATCTCCCACCCTGTCAGCCATAGGGGGAACTGAGGTTTGAGAAGTGAAGCTTACCTGGACTCCCAACAGCAAAATGAGAGTGAGCACTGGACTCTTGCCTCCCGTGTGCGCCCGCTCATGTTAGGGTCCTTTTGATTATAACATACAGAGATCCAGCTGCCACCTGCTTTTAAAAAAAAAATAATTGATCTGTGGAGCTGGGAAGTGTAAGAGAGGGAGCACCTCAGGCACGGCTGGGCCCAGGAAGCTAACGCTGTCAGGGACCTGTCTGTCTCTCGTCGCTAGTTGTGAGATGAGCTCTCCCCCCACAGAGGAATAAATCATAGCAACAGGTATGTATCGACTCCTCCCTGTGGGCTGAGCACTGTTCTAAGCACTTTCCGTACATTAACTCGGTTATTCCTTCAGCACAAGATACACACTTTATTAAGGCGAGGCCAAAGTACCTGTAAAGAATTAAGCAGCTTGCTCGAGGTGACCGAGTCAGTAAGTGGTGGAGCTCAGATTCAGATCCACTCTCACACAGACCTTTCACAGATGGCTGCCAGCCCCCTGAGGTTAACGTCGTCCTGTGAACAGATAAAGCATCTCCACAGTGACGCGCAGCACAGCACGGCCCCGCCCCGCCTGGCCCTGCCTGCTCCTAGCCCATCTGTGAACTGCTCAGCTGGGCCATGGGTTGAGCCATGCCATTGCCCTGGCTGAGGTTTGCCCCCTCTGTAGCAGAGCGTGAGGTTTTGTGGGCGGGGCAGAGAGGTTAGGAAGAGGCACCAGGCAGGAACCAGCAGTGACAGAGGTCTACTCCAAGCTTTTTGCTTCTCTGAGCTCAAGGCAGCTGCCGGGTGTGGCTTCCCCAACTCGCATACCCACCGGCAATGACAGAGCCCCGCTACCTGATCCCGGGAGAGCTGTGAGGACTCAGTGGTACCGATTCCAGCGCTGTGAGCCGGCACCTGCACTGAGCGAGGGGCGCCCAAGACAGGTCAGAGAGTTCCTGCCTCAGGGTGCTCTTGGTGGGAGGCCCAGAAATGGAGAAGCAGCGCATCAGGCAGGGGAGTATATGTCATATGGCTGAAATATAGAAGAAATGCTTAAATTTTTAAAAAAATTATTGTAGTAAAAGACATATTGCCATTAGTCACCCTCAGAATACTCCCCTTCACACTGAATACACTCGGCCCATCGTTCTTGCTGCCCTGAGGCAGTTCTGGAAGTACCCGTTTGTGAGTGGCTTTACGAGGTGTGACTTTAAAATGTGGAGAATGTTGCTGCCCAGAGCATCCGATGGGAAGGCAGCCTCGTAAAACGTGACAGTGTGTTCTCCCGCTCCTTACTCACCAGCTCTGGCACCGTGTGACTCCCGGCTCTTCCCCAAAGTCAAAGTGACTCTGACAGGTAAATGTTTTGAATCGATTCTGGACATCGAGGCCACCACCAAACAGCACCACTAAAGACATGAAAGAACTGCTACAGAAAAAAAAAAGAGTAAGATCTTACGGATAAAATCTGAGGGCCAGGGCTATAGCTCAGTGGTATAAGCGCCTACCTGGCAAGGTCCTGAGTTCGATTCCTGGTACCAAAAAAAAAAAAAAAAAAAGAATAAGAACTGCTGCAGAAAGTGGTGAGAGCAGTGGGTAAGTGTGCTGTGAGGGGAGTGAGTGGCAATGTGTCAACTGCTGTAATCATTTTCTTTTTTTTTTGTTTGTTTGTTTTTTTTGTTTTTTGTTTTTGTTTTTCTCTGGTACCGGGAACTGAACTCACGACCTTGCGCTTGCCAGGCAGGCGCTTTGCCGCTGAGCTAAATCCCCAGCCCCATCATTTTCTTTTAATTTAAACATTCACTGTATTTTTCGATCATAGCTCTTACGTGCTGACATCACACAGCGGACACAAGGCAAGAGTATCCCAGCGGGCAGTGCTAGGAAAAGATTCCCAGAAACGTGACGCTTGAACTTGGGCTAGAAGCCCGACTAGAAGCCCATCAATGGGCCGGATGAGGCCGGATGTCCCAGGCAGGGCGCGAAGCTTGTGCAAAGTCAGACAACGGGACCGTGTCGGCGTGCCACAGAACTGCAGGCAGCTCCGTGATGCTGGGCCCCGGCCGGTGTGAGAGAAGGCAGGGTGGAGCTAGCGAGGTCAAGTGCTGTGGGTCCTGGGAGACTCAGGTGCATCCGGTTAGAGGGGTCCTGACGGAGAATCAAGTAGAGGGTGATGGAGCCGCTGTGTGCGGTACAGAGAAAGTCAGGCTGTGGAGGAAGAAAGCCAGTGGGGAGGTGGGCGCAGAGTTCAGGCCTCAGTGAAGAGGATCTGAGCGAGACAGTGCCGCAGGGCCGGAGAACAGGAGGCAGGTTCCAGAGCGGGAGTAACGGGACTCAGTGGTACTCTAGATTTGGGGACAAGAATAAAGGACATGCTGGGTGTGCGGGTGATGGAGGCGTGGCGGTGAGGTAACCACCACAGGGATTCCTCCCTGGAGAAAAGGCGAGTATTCTAAGCAAGGGGCTGGTCAGGGAGGATGAGGATTTCATAATCATGAGAACTCTAATTAACTTAGTTTTCAGTAAAGAGTTCATGAAGAGTATGATTAACCCAGTTTTTCACAGAACACTCTGTGAGCATAAGCAGAGCACTAGGCTCTGGACACGGCAGTGAGCACAGTCTCTTCCATGCAGGTGAGTAAGAGCATTAGTCACTAAACACACAAGTCCTATCAGATTTTGGTCATGTTCCATGGTCCTGAGCAGCTAGCTGGCTATGCCGTGGCCAGCTTTTCCCCACATGCAACTGGTTCAGAAAGTGCGGCTGGCGGGGCCGGGGATGTAGTTCAGTGGCACAAACACCTGCCTGGCAAGCACAAGGTCCTGAGTTCAGTTGCTGGTACCAAAAAAAAAAAAAGAAAAAAGAAAGTGTGGCTGGCTGTTTGGGAAACACTCAGAACCTGTCTGAGGCAGTGTGGGGCCGAGGGAAGCAGTAGCCTGGCAGGCAACTGCAAATTCTCCTTTCAGCTCTGCCTTCTGACATTAAGCCTCAGTTTCCTTTTCTCTAAAATGGAGCTAACTGTGGCTGTTTTGCATATTCCAACAGGTTCTTGTGCAGGTAGCTCAACTGAGGGGACATATGCGTGATCTTTCCAAGATCAGGAGCTGGCGAACTCTTTTCTTAGAGGGCTAGGTAGTAAATATTTTAGGCTTTGTCCAAGGCAGGAACAGTGGGGAGGCAGTTTTTGGAATATAAATGTATTTATTTTTGGAATGTGAATTTAGGGCTTTCTAAAAAGGCGCCCACGGCTTCTGATGTACTTAGAAGCTAGACCTAACCTAATCATGCCCTCGCTCCCGCTTTCTTGTTCCTGAGCCCTTTTCTCCATCTCCCGCCTCTGCTCTCTCTCTCACCATCCTAGTCCTTCCCTGTCTTTCTCTATTTCTTCGCCATGAGCAACATGCAGGCTGGGCAGCCCTCCGGTGATCTTCCAAGAACTGTGACGTCCATGTTCATCCCAGTGTACAAAAAGACTCACCCTACGTATCTAAAAAACTTGCTTCTCCGCCAAAACTTCAGATACCAGCCCTTTCCAAGTACAATATGAGCTCTGGTTTTTTTTTGGCTTCTATAACGGCAAATGTTTTCAAGGAAATTTTTACACCCAGCTTCTAGTTATTCTAGAAGTCAGGTCCAATAGGGACTCTTCTTTTTTTTTTTTTTTTTTTTCTTCAGTTGGTTATTGAGAAGTTTCAAAAAACAGTCTTCAAACTGTGATCTTTTCAAATACATCTACCCATAAGT